AATCAATCAATGTGACACACCACATCAACAAAATGAGGAATAGAAAACACATGATCGTCTCAATAGATGCAGAGAAAGCATTTGAGAAGATCCAACATCCACTTACAATAAAAACTCTCAAGAAAATGAGTATAGAAGGAAAGTACTTCAACATAATAAAGGTCATATATGACAAACCAACATCCAACATCATACTTAACAGTGAAAAACTGAAAGCCATCCCTCTGAGAATAGGAACAAGACAAGTGTGCCCACTCTCACCCCTCCTATTCAACAGTCCTAGAGGTTTTGGCCAGAGCAATTAGGAAAGAAAAAGAAATAAAAAGTATCCAAAGTGGAAAGGAAGAAGTAAAACTCTCACTATTTGTGGATGGCATGATTCTATATATAGAAAACCCTAACAAATCCACCAGAAAACTATTAGAAATAATCAAAAACTATAGTAAAGTTGCAGGGTACAAAATCAACTTAGAAAAATCAGTTGCATTTTTATACACTAATAACGAACTAGCAGAAAGAGAAGTCAGGAATACAATCATATTTGCAATTGCAACAAAAAGCATAAAATATCTAGGAATAAACTTAACCAAGGAGGTGAAACACCCATACACTGAAAACTATAAGACATTATTGAAAGAAATCAAGGCATAAAGAAATGGAAAGATATTCCACGCTCATGGACTGGATGGATAAACATAGTTAAAATGTCCATATTACCTAAAGCAATCTACAGATTCAATGCAATCCTAATCAGAATCCCAGCGACATTCTTCATGAAAATAGAATAAAGAATCCTAAAATTTATATGGAACAACAAAAGACCCCAAATAACCAATGCAATCCTGAGAAAAAAGAACAAAGCGGAGGTATCACAATCCCCAACTTCAAAATATACCACAAAGCTATAGTAACCAAAACAGCACAGTACTGGCACAAAAACAGACACACCGATCAATGGAATAGCATTGAAAGCCCAGAAATAAAACCACACATCTATGGACAGCTAGTCTTTGACAAAGGAACCAAGAACATACAATGGAGAAAGGAAAGTCTCGTCAATAAATGGTGTTGAGGAAACTGGACAGCCACATGCAAAAGAATAAAAGTAGACCATTATCTTACACCCATACACAAAAATTAACTCAAAATGGATTAAAGACTTGAATGTGAGACCTGAAACCATAAAACTCCTGGAAGAAAATATAGGCAGTACACTTTTCGACATTGGTCTTAGCAGCATCTTTTTGAATACCATGTCTACTCAGGCAAGGGAAACAAAAGAAAAAGTAAACAAATGGGACTACATCAGAGTAAAAATCTTCTGCAAGGCAAAGGAAACCACGAACAAAACAAAAAGACAACACACCAACTGGGAGAACATATTTGCAAATCATATATCTGACAAGGGGTTAATTTCTGAAATATACATAAAGAATTCATACAACTCAACAACAAAAAGCAAACAACCCAATCAAAAAATGAGCAGAGGGTATGAACAGACATTTTCTACAAAGAAGTTATACATATAGCCAACAGGCCCATGAAAAGATGTTCAACATCACTAGTTATTAAGGAAATGCAAATCAAAACTACAATGAGATATCCCTTTATACCTGTCAGAATGGCTATAATTACCAAGACAAAAAATAACTAATGTTGGAAAGTATGTGGAGAAAAGGGGACTCTCATACACTGCTGGTGGGAATGCAAACTGGTGCAGCCACTATGGAAAACAGTATGGAGATTTCTCAAAAAATTAAAAATAGAAACACCGTACAATCCAGCTATCCCACTACTGGGTATTTACCCGAAGAACTTGAAATCAACAATACAAAGAGATCTATGCACGCCGGTGTTCACTGCAGCATTATTCATCATAGTCAAGATATGGAAGCAATCCAAGTGCCCATCAACTGACGAATGGATAAAGATGTGGTATATATATATAATGGAATACTACTCAGCTATAAAAAAGTCAAAATCATCTCATTTGCAACAGCATGGATGGACCTTGAGGGTATTATGTTAAGCAAAATAAGCCAGACGGAGAAAGACAAACACCGCATGAGTTCACTCATATGTGGAAGATAAACACATGGATAAAGAGAACAGATTATTGGTTACCAGAGGGGAAGGAGGTTGGGGGTGGTCAAAAGGGGTAAAGGGGCACATATGTATGGTGAGGGATAAAAACTAGACTATTGGCAGTGAGTACAATGCAGTCTATAGAGAAACTGATATATAATAATGTACACCTGAAATTACACAATGTTATAAACCAATATGACCTCAAGAACATAATTTAAAAAAATAAATAAAAAGTTATGACATTTAAAAAAAACAAGACTGATTTCACTCTGAAGACAGATGCAAAAATTCTATATAAAATGTTTGCAAATTGAAACTAGAACTGTGCATTTAAAAACAATGAGAATAAAGTAGGATTTATTCTGGGAATGCAAAGATGATTCAATATCAAGAAACTTTTCATCAAAATTCATGATTTCAATATGTCTTGATTATGTCATCACAAACTGAAAAGACATTTGAAATAATACAGCAATCACTTTTAATAAAATCTTAAAATAGGAGTAAAAATCTATTGAATTTATAAAGACCGTATTCAAAAAATCAATAACTAACATTAACTAAACTATGAAGATGAAAACATCCAGGAAGACTATCACTTCTTTGGCTCAACATTGTTTGGTGGTCCTAGCTATTCAATGGGAGAAGAGACTCCACATGAGAAGAAACCAAACCATCTTCAGTTGCTGATGGTCTGATTCCATACTTAAAAAAATGAGAGATTAAAAAATCTTCCAAGAATTAACAAAAGAATTAGTACACTGGCTAGATATAAAATAAATATATAAAGATTAATAGATTTTCTCTATACAACCCATAAGCACACAGAAATGCAAATGGCAAAAGTAACTCATGCAATGGTGGAGTAAAAGCTTGAAAATAACTAGGATAAGTTTAAGGGAGTTGTGTATGAAATATCCTTTGTAAAATACAATTGAGGAGCATAAAACAAAACTGAAAAAATAGATATGTAAATTTAATGATGTTTTAAAACAGAATCTCTACAAATTTTATAGAATTTTGAATAGGCAAAAGGATTTCAGGGGCTGGTCCTGCGTCGCAGTGGTTAAGTTCGGCACACTCCGCTTCGGAGGCTGGGGTTCGTGAGTTCAGATCCTAGGCACAGACATATACCACTGTCAGCCATGCTGTGGTGGCAACCCACCTAAAAAGCAGAGGAGGATTAGCACAGATGTTAGCTCAGGGCTAATCTTCCTCAGCAAAAAAACCCACAAAAAACAAAAAACGGACTTCAAATAGCACGTGGAAAACTAAGTATCTGGGAATTCCCCCAAAATGATGAAGAAAATAGTGAGAGTAAACTGTTTTAATGGGATTACACCTTGGGTATAAAGCCATTGAAATACAAACAGCACAATTTTTACTCAAGAATAGCCATAAATGGATCTAAGTATAAATAGAAATTTAATATATGACAAAGATGACATTTTAATTCACTGGAATAACAACACTCAGTCGGTAAACTGTGGTATCACAATTGGCCACCCATGTGAATATACATCAATCTAAACCTCTATCCCACATTATATTTGAACAAATATTCCAGATGGGTGAAGGCTTCAGATATAAATCAATACAGTAACATTAGAATTAAATTTAAGAAAACATTTGTATAAATTTGGTTGGGGATGACATTCCTTAGCAAGACCAGAACCCCAGAAGCTATATAAAAGGAAAGATAAACTTATCAGAGGAGATAAGAATTATAAATTTAAGTATGAAAAGCTATCATAAAAAAGCCCAAAGACCAATAATGTACTAGGAAAAAATCAGATCTCATATTATTGACCAATAGAAAATATACCTAAGATAAGAAAATGTCCAAATATTTGCTAGAAAAATAGAGAGAGACTACAAATTAGCAATTCTGGGACAAGAAAATATAAATGGCACAAATAAATGAGAGCTGCTCAACCTCAAAAGTACTTAGGAAAATTTTAATCAAAGGAAAAATTAGATAACAATTCCATCCTGCAGACTGGCTATGATTTAAAGGAAAAATGCTATCTAGAGTTAAACAAAAAGGAAAGTAGGAAAACTCTCCTTGTTGCTGATGGAAAAGTGAATCTTTTCAGAAATTGAATTCATAAAAATTGATTAAATATTTTGAACCTAACCAAACTACTTTGGGAATCTTTCCTATAAAAATAAAATGTAAACACGCACACACACACAAAAGATGTATAGATATACAAGGATGTTTACCATAGCATTGTTTTTAGTAGCAAACACTGCAAACAAACTGAGCGTCTAAATGTTTAATACAGCAGACTGGCTGGATAACTTGTGGTATATCTACAATATGGCAGATTAAGCAGTAATAAAAAGCAGTTTTAAAAGAGTGAGATATATTTATGTTCATTGACCTGAAGGTAGGTCCTTACTGTTGTGTTAAGCACAAAAAGCAAGTTGTGAAGTAATATGTATGGTATGATTCTATTTTGCTAAAATCCAATGAACAGCAATAACACACACAAAAATATTGTGTGTGTGTGTGTAAAAAGCTGGTGAAGATATATACTAGGCTAACACTTACTATCTGAGTGGGGATGGGGATGTGATTATAATTTTTGTCATTTTCTTTCATTTCTACTCTGCTCTAATTCTCTGGATACAGAGAATTGCTTATATCATTTAAAAAGTTAATAAAGTAATAAAAATATATTAAAATAAGTTGAAGTAAATGTTTGTTAATATATCTTGCCTTTTATGAATCAAATGCTCAGCATTTGAATAATTCTAAAGGGAAGTTTGTTTTTTTCTTTTTGGATTACATAAACATTAAGTAATTGTTAATGGCCAAAATCAATTAGCAGCGTGGTTGAAATAGTTGAAAAGCATTCCCAAAATAGGTAATGTTGCTGTCTATCTTTGATGTTCCATTCACATACCTCTTTCCCTGTTACTGGTGCTTCTGACTGTAATAAACACATGTCTTGAATTCTGTTCCTGAAGGAACTTCTGCAAGGACTCTGGAATTTAAATTGTCTGTCCAGCTGAGCAGGGAAGACTGGGCTAGCCATTGGGCCATTGAAGAGGTTGACTCAGCACAATGCCAGCTGAGAAGATAGACAGGGGATACTCAGAGACAGTTGTTTTCTTTATTGACTGTCTGTTTTTTGGTCCTTGGCCGTCTTCGGAATTGTCCCCTTTCCTTGTATTTTTTTCTTTTCTTCTTTAAGGATTTTATTTTTATTTTATCTTATTTTATTTTTTTATTGCAGTAAGATTGGTTTATAATATTGTATAAATTTCAGGTGTATATCATTATATTTTGATTTCTGTGTAGATTATATCATGTTTATCCCCCAAAGACTAATTACAATCCATCATCACACACATGTACCTGATCACCCCTTTCACCCTCCTCCCTCCCCCCTTCCCCTCTGGTAACCATCAATCCTGTGTTTTTAAAACCAGTGAGGGATCTTATGCAGAGCTTTCAAGTATATAAATCCAGAACCATCTTGCCTTGCTCCACATGCTCCATTATCCTCAACTGTTTTATGGTAAATATTTCTCGTCTGCTTAAATCATGTGAGTCTTGCTTAAACTTGTCCCAGGCCTCAGATTTGGAATCTTCTTATCTCTATCTCATTGTTATTGCTTTCTTACCTTCCTCGCCTGCTCAAATATACATTGCAAATATTCTTTTTGAATATGGAGCTTACATTTTAATCTCTAATTTACCAAATTTTTGTGTCCTTTCAAAGAGTTCTAGTCTAATTTAAAATAATGTGATGAAGATATTCTATTTTTTCAGAAGCTTTATAGTATTACCTTTATATTTAACTCTCAAATTAAATTTGTCTGTGAGATGAAGTAGGCATCAATGTTAACTTTTTCTATACATTAAATCTTATTCCAGCACAATTTATTGAGAGGTCTTTTCTTTTCCCACATTGACTTGTCCTGGTTCTCTTGTTGAAAATCGATTGAACGTATATATGTGAGTATATTTCTGGACTCTATTCTGTTTCATTGACCTATTTGACTATCCTTATGCCAATATCACAATGTCTTGATCAATATCTTTTAAATAAATTTTGATATCTGCTACTGTATACCCCCCAACTTTTTTTTTTATTTTTATTACTGTAGATTTTTTTCCACATAAATTTTAGAATGTTTGCTTTCTATACAAAAAGGTAGATTTTGATTGGATTTTGAATGGTATTGTGTTGAATTTCTGTAAATTAACTTGGGGTGAACTGAAATCTTAATTATGTTGAAACTTCCAATTCATAAACATGGTATATTTACTCATTTCTTTAATATATCTCAGCATGTTTTGTAGTTTATGGTGTGGATTTCTGACTTCTAGTAATTGTTTTGTAGATTCTTTAAGATTTTCTACATAAAAGATGATGTCATGAATAAGATATTTTTATGTTTATCTGTATCATTTACTACCTTTTCCTTACCTTTTTGTTCTGCTTTTTTTTCCAGCACACTTTTGATTAAAAGTGGTGAGAGCCTTGTTCTCAATCATAGGGAAAACACTTAGTATTCACCTTTGTGGATGATACTATCTGTAGATAATCTGTAACTGTATCAGACTGAGGAAGTTTCCTTCTACAACTTGTTTCCTGAGAAGTTTCCATTTTTTTTAATTAACAGCTATTGAATTTTATCAAATGCTTTTCAACATCTATTGATTCACAAATTTCATTAAACTTTAAGAGGACCAAATTTTGGCTTTGTTATTTTATTTGATTTAATTTTTATAGAGATTTATCCTTCTTTACAGATAAAGAAATCAAGGCTTGCCTAAAGTCATGTACATGTGAACTGGTAAACCAGAGGTATAGAGATTCAAACACAATTCTGACTCTAAAGCCTAGTCGCTTTCCATTTGTCTATTAGATCTATTAGATCTCCTAGTTTTCAATTAGGAAATACTTTTTATTTAGTTGCAAACACTGCAACTCTGTACTTTTTATTTACAGCATAAAGATTGCTAGATACTCATTATAGGAACAGGTCTAGGATAGCTTCATTGCAGTTTACGGAATTCACTTCTTTAGCAATTCTCATTGTACCTCATTGTACCTCAGTATGAAAAAACAATAAGAAGAGAAAAACCACAAGACTCTGCCCTAACACCATCTACCATTTATTTTCTTAGAGCCACAAAATATATAAAGAAATAATGATGCACTGGTTATCCTACCTGCTTATCTGAAACAATTTAAAATTTCTATTCTCACATGGAGACAACTAGGGAAAAAATGGTTCTCAACCAGATAAGGGTATCAAGCTCGATTCAGGAAGTTTTAATCCAATACCTGCTGTTCAGTCCATGCCCGCTAAATCAAAAAATTATGGGGTGATCTGCTGGCATGTCTGTTTTGGAAAAGTTTCCCTGATGAGTATAATGTCCTCCTCTGGTAAAGAATCTGCCCAATTAGTTAAAAAGTTATGCTATGCATGAGGTAAATTATATGTGCTAGAGGCTATTATAATTTATTAATAGTATTTATTCCTTTTAAGTTTTTTATAATATGCACTAAGTGGGATAGAGAATCTAGGTTATTTCAATGTTTATGTGCAGGGCAAGAAAGGACTAATTAGTTAAATTCTTTAGTTAGTATTATGTGATCTACTATTATTCTACAAAGCATGTCAGAATTGTTGACATTTTATGTTTTTTAATGTGAGTTTTGCTGTGAAAACATACATTTTCTGTTGACTCAAAGAAGAAAAGCTCCAGGAGTTAGGAGATATGAATGGGTCCAGACCCAAGATTTAGAAGTGGCACAAATTTGTCTGATCTAGCACAGGGGTTCTGATTTAGGACTATTCTAGAATATTGATTCCTGTTCTCCAAAAGGCTACTAAACAAAACAGAAGACCCAAACCAATCTTAGAGTGGCCCAGATAGAACCACACAATAAACCTACACTTACCAATTTCTCCAAATAGAAGACATCTCAGTAAAGTACTGCACCTCTGAGGCCACCCTTGAGCTGACTTTATTTCAAGATGAGAATTTTTAGGTCAGTATTGCAGAATTTCCTTCAGGCCACACTTTACCTGGCAAGCTTTTCAACACTGTTATCCTCCAAAAGCCTCCATGTTAGAGTTATTGCTTATAACTTGGAAAACAAGTACACTGCTTTCATAAAGAGTACACAAGTTTGCATTATAATTAATGATACTCCTACTGACTTCATCATAGTTATGAATGTGAAGAAGGTATCCATATTGAATTACCTGTAGAATACATCTAACCACGTTGGAAGGGAATTTTTAAACATTTAATCTCTTACTTTCCATTGTCATACAAATTTCAGTTAGTCTTGATAATAAAGACAAATGAAATTGAGGAGTAAAAATATAAATAAGGACAATGTATATAGGATTATAATATTTACAGTTTTAAGTACATATACAGCCAAAATAAAGGAGATTATCATTTTTTTACTCCCTAAAAATAGGGTTGTTAGATAAAATAAAAGACACTAGTTAAATTAGAATTTCAGATAAACTATGAGTAATATTTTAGTATAAGTATCTCCCAATTATTGTACTGGACCTACTTATATTAAAAATGGATACCTTGTTTATCTGATATTTAAATCTTATTCAGCATCCTGTTTTTTCCCCTAAATATGGGAACCCAATAAAAAAGAAAAAGAAAATGCTTCATCTTCACGAGTTACTAAGCATATTCATGAAGTTTTTTGTTTTGTTTTTTTTTTGTGAGGAGGACTAGCCCTGAGCTAACATCCGATGCCAATCCTCCCCTTTTTTCTTGAGGAAGAGTGGCCCTGAGCTAACATCCGTGCCCATCTTCCTCTCCTTTATGGGATGCAGCCACAGCATGGCTTACCAAGCAGTGTGTCGTGTCAGTGTTTACCCGGGATCTGAACCTGTGAACCCCAGGCCGCCGAAGTAGAGCGCGCGCACTTAACCGCTTGCGCCACCGGGCCGGCCCCATCATAAAGTTTGTTTTTAACTCAAGATTTTAAGTAACTTATTTGAACTATAATCTTCTTTTCCTTAGTAATTTGTTCCTCTTTAAGTAGGTCACACTTGTGTTAATATGAAAATTGCTGTTTAAGAGAAGAAACTTGACAAACTATTTTTTTAAAGATCTAATTCATCAAGGTCACTCTCACCTACAAAAACATTTTCAGGTAATTTAAACAGATAAGAAAGGTGCTAACCACATTCAAAGATTTATCTTGACACAATTTATAGTTCCTGATAAGCTTTTTCTCTGGTTCCTTTCTCCATGTGACTTAGTTAAGCCATTGTCCAGAGGTTAGATGCCAGATTTCTCTGATATTTTGAGCCAGTGAAGGGTATTTTCTTCCTTCCTCCCATAAAAAAGGTTCTGTTGGTGCAGATCTAAGCCCATTTGAGATACGTTTGCAATCATCTGTAGAATGCAGGCAAAAGAGGAATAACCTAGAATAAAAATGTCTCCTTGTGTCCCAATCATTACTTTTTCCTATGAAATCATTCAACAATTAAATTATACTCTACATGCTTCATCTCAGATCATATTTTAGATTCTAGATTTCTTATTCAATATATGGATAGAAAGATAAGAGAAAGTTAAACAAATAATCTATAAAATAATATTTTCTATGCTAAACATAGGCGCTTTTCTTTGTAACCCACATAGTGTCTTTGTAACTTGGCTGTAAAAACAACGCATTTTTTTCTGTTGATGCAGAGAATATAGCCTCCAGTTCTTTCTCATCCTTATAATTAAATACTATCTGAATAAACTGGGATCTTAATTGAAACCAAATTATAGTATCAACATTCAAAGTAAAATTAAAGAGCACAATTTAATCACTGCCTATTGCAAATTTGGTCATCATTCCAAAACTAGGAATCTATCTAAGACTGAAATATTTTAATGTTTTGACATAATAAAGGTAGAAAATTACGAAGTTCAAAAACTGATTTATTCACTTTATTATATTGGTCTTAACCTGCTAAGCAAAGCAGCTAGACTTTTGTACCTACGTTGACAGAAGCTAGAAGTGCTATGCAAGTGGCATTT